CTGAAAATTGATGTAAAAGTATAAAATCAGGAAACTACTGCTCTTTTTCTAATTGAAGATGCATTGGTAGATAGGATGTATTCATGTTTTGATGTTAAAGTTTATTTGATTTTTTATTGTAACCTCACACTCTGTAATGAGATTGTCTAAATAGATAATCTATTTCCTGGGCATTGTAAGAGAGTTACCTGGCTGTTAACTGGGATTTATTTGATTAATCTCACTGGGATGTTAAACGGTACTTTGTTGATTTTTTATGGTTGAGGGGTGGAACAAGTAATAATCTTCTAATTGTGTTCGTTTTGTGTGACTTGTCGAAGTGACGTATTTAAGGGGTTGGGGAACTGACCAATTGCAACAGCAGTCTTGGCTAGGTGTTTGTTTCATCTTCACTATTCCTTTTTTGGTTTAACCTTAAAGATATAAAATAAAATAAAGGCCAACACCCTATGTTCTCTTTCTAAAACAATGAACAAAAGCACCCTTGCTTATTAGGTTGCCCACATCAATTTCAAGTTATGTTAGTTATGCTTCTAATTCAAATTGTGGGTTGACCAATTACAAATAATAGTAGCTTATAATCCAACCCTTGGTGGTTTAGTGGCAACTCTATTAAATGGGTGTAATAGACATAATGATTTGGGTTCAAATTTTAAGTTTTACTCCCTTTTACCTCCACGTTCTCCCTTGTTCAACAAAATAATAGTAGCTTATAATTATCATATAATTCACAATTTCAAGTGGAGATACTTGTCTTCATTGATATGAATTTTTAAGTTTTTTTTTTAACCCTCTTGTTGCACCAAGCTATACTGCATAATGGGGATAAAATTGCTGTGAACAGAAAGTGAAATAAAACTAATCTTATGCAAGCTCAAGTTGAGACAACTAAAAAAAAAAAACCTGAGCATCGTTTTTCATTAAAATTAGCAAATTAATATTGTGCATGTCTACTTTACTTCTGTGTATAATATCTCTTTCATAAAATCATTTTTGTATTTTCCATTTGAATTTCATTTTA